AGAGTGAACGAAAAAGCATCGGAACTCGTTCGTAACTCGTTTCGGAACTGGATCAAGTTTCGACGGATAATCGACCATAATCGAAATTGATCTTTGACCGCCCTCGACGCGAATCGGAACTGTCAGAATCGATTCTGGTCGATTCTCGGCTATTAACCGAGTTACGATCCAGTTCCGACCGAGTTACGAATCGAGTTCCTCCTCGAGAGGAGGAACACCTCAAATTTTCGGAACTCGAGTTTCGATTCTCGTTCGGAACTCGACCAAAACTCGACCCAGAATCGAATCGAGTTCCGATCGAGTTCCGACCTCGTTTCGTCCACTCTGACCTCCCCTATTTGTTTCGTAACTCAGAATCGATTCTCGTTCGATTCTCGTCTCGGAACTCATGTTTTCGCGTATTTTGGTTCTGAGAATCGAAGCGAGAATCGATGGCAGAATCGATGTGTTTCCGTCCACTCTGACCTCCCCTATTGTGTATACCTTCGTGAACACGGGGGTCTGATGGGCTGTGGCTACCCAGCGGAGGCACCGGCGGACGGGGGGGTGAACAGAGCTAGGAAGGGGGAGACGGAGGGTGGACAGAGCCCTCAAAAGCGACGTGCACTCAAGGAGCCAGAGGTCTGGCAGCGTGTGTCCACGTCGGTCTGTCCACGGGTCTAGACCGATGTCAATCAGAGCGTGATCCGGCCACTTGAGACAAGGGGATATACAGGTCGAGAACCTCAGCCTGCAAAATCTGGGCGCGAGCTATCGCTACGACGAAAACAGAGGATGTGGGTAGAATAGAACTATATTCCGTCCAGTCAGTTTAATCCTCCTCCTCACGAGAAACGAACACACCATAAGTAACCCTCGTCAATAGGCTCCATCCTTCCGTCATAACCCTCTTTCCCCGCTTCAAATTCATCACCACAACATCTAAACCCTCCTCCGCGAGCGCCCGTAATCGCAGACCACCTGCCTTGATACGAATTCGGCCGAGGTATAAGCCGATGAAACGAAGTCTCGGAGCAGCGCTCCACCGCGATTCGACCATGTCCACGAATGCTTTGCGATCAATCGTGTCATTGCGATCGCCCCAGGACAAGGATGTTAGGCGTGGGCAGATTATACCCTGCTTGGAGGACGAGTGGACCGCGAGAGTAGCGATGAGCAAGGCAGTCTCGGACGACGAGCCCAAAAAGTAGACTGCGAGAGCCGTCAGCGCTGGCGTCTCATGCAGGAGTCCGAGGACCTGCGAGGCTGGGGCTTCGCACTTGAAGAGCGTGAGGCTAGTCAAGGTCGCCGCACACTTGGAGCGGTGGAGGAAGGGTAAGATGGGCTCCAAATCGCCGTCGTGGACATGCAGATCGAGGAGTGCCGGTGCAATGCGGTGCGGGAGGAATGAGGCGAGGCGGAGGTGGTGACGAGACGGCGGAGTTGTAGCATGGAGACAGCGCCGATGTCACGCGCAACGTCTCCGAAATCTATATCGCACTCCACGAGGTTGAAGGCTCTCGAAAGATTCGTGAAGTGCGTTATGGGATCTTGGAACGTCGCTTTGTACGACGCCAATTCCTCCCATGAAGAGAGTGAGATGTGTGGAGACGGCCTCCTCCCGAGGTCCCCAAGTCACTGTGGGGAGGAAATTCAATCAGCCTGATTGACGGGACTCAATCAGGATGAGTGACGGTATCAATCAACCTACTCATTCAACAACAACAAACACTTGTTTTTTAAACGGCCTTTTGCTCAATGACGAATCAACCTAATACCTTGAGATAAAGCTCACAAGATTTATAAGGCTGGGTACTAACCAAAGACAACCAAGTCTAATAAATTTACTGCGCCTACAGATACAAATTAGAAAAATCTGTGAAAGCAACTGTTTTGTGGGTGAGTGTTCAGAATACAATCGGGATGAGACCACTAAATGCACTCAAGTTGGGCACTATCAGGCTGATTGACAAATTTGCGGCTTGATTGAGTCGTCAGTCAGCCTGATTGAACTTGCTTCCCACAGTGAAGTACGACCCGGCGCAGATTCGGCGTATGCGCGTTTGCGAACACAGTTTCCCATTTCTGGTCTCATCTCTTCCAGCATAGGTAGCGATCCCAGCTCTTTGAACGATTCTGGTGGCGAATACTGCCAATGGAATTCGAGATGCAGAGATCGCCCCTGCGCACGGCGCTCCACAAGCTTGTTGAAGACCTTCCAACTCGCTTGGCGCGAGGTGAAGGTGTCGTGAGACGTGAAACGAAAGACGATATCCAGCGGAGTGGTACCAGCGCGTTCGATCTGAAGCTCCAGATACCGCACTCGACGACCCCAGCTTGCTGTCGATAGTGCGATGGAACTCCACAGTGAAGCATATGCGAGCGCGATTGTGCGCCACGAATTTCATACCTGGCCGAGAGACCAGGGAGCGTCGAGGGGCCACGGGTCTGTGCGCTCGGGGGGAGCCCAGACGACAGGCCGTGTCAGCGCGACGGACGGGGTATCGGGTTTGAGCGGGGTATCGGGTTTGAGCGGGGGGATGGCTAATATAAAGATGTGGCAGAGGATTTCGGGGAAGAGGATTGATATTGGCGATGGATGGGGAGTGTTGGAGGAATCCGGGAAGGAGGACATGACGGGACGAGTCAAAGGTAGTGATGTATCACGTCAACTCTATGATCCGTGATCAAGTCCGGTGTTCAACATAAAAAAGCTATGCCAATTGCTACTTAGACGCCGTGTGGGGGAATCGAACCCCGACTGGAGGCTCGGTTTTCCGGTATTATTGAATTGTAGTATGTACAGATATATATTTCTCTCAGCTACGGCCGCCTTAGTCATGACGAGTAAGCCGACTCTAGAAGCGGAGTCCCGAGTCCCGACTGCCACCTGAGAGAAGCTCAAGCCACAGTGGGAACACTGGTCGGACAAAATGCTTATCCGACCTAAGACATTCCAATATTGGCCGATCCACCGATAGGCGTCATCAACGCCTAACGCTACCAAAATGGTCTTGCCTCGTTGGGTGCGGATCAACCGGATGCACAGCCATCCTAGTCCTTGATTCCGACCATCATCATCTCCGAAGTCACAAGTGTGCCGTGCACTGGGATGCCGCCGGTGGCCAATGCCTCAAACCCGAACGCCGGTCCCGTTCGGGACCCCGGCACCGCCTCTGAGGCTCTGACTGACTCACACCGCAACCTGGGATGCCTTATTACCCCCTCGCAGACTCAGTTCCGCCCATATTCACATGGCCTGGTATACTGTGGAAATCCTGCCAGATGAGGTGCTAGGCGTCATTCTCAAACTCGTGGCCGATTCCCCGATGAATCTCGCCGCGCCACCCACACCCATCGTTGCAGCGCGAGTAAATCGTCGCTGGCGCTCAATCACACTGTCTTACCCCGAGCTATGGACAACTATCCGCATCTCCCACCGCCCGCACTCGCTGCGTTGGGCCTCCATCTCGTTAGCGTGCTCACGGACGCTCCCAATCGATATCAGCATCAATCTCGAGGCGTGTCTGCGGAATCCAAACGACGTAGAGCGCTCAATGCCACCACCGTAGAATCCCTACGTGCCACTGGAGGACATCCTCCCTGTGGTCGGCCCCCATGTGGCCCGCTGGCGCACGGTCGCGTTCCGTGGGTGGTCGTTCCACGTCCGGCAGTTTTGCCAATTTCTGTTATCGGCCCCGACATCCCCCATCGAGTCCCTCCATCTCTCGGTGCCGTCATATTGCGACATGGAAGGCTACCAATCTGTCCCCGTGGACGTAGCGGGGCTGAACAATATACGTTCGTTGCGGTTGGCTGATTCCGCGCTGCTCCTGGATCCTGCATTTCGATCCAGCCGGCTGCAGGCGCTGGATATCCAATTTTCATACAATCATGAGGCTGGCCTTGCTACTCTCCGTCAACTATTCAAGAGCGCTGATTTTCATCTCAAAACCCTTGTTCTACGCGACTTTTGGCCCAAGGCCGTCCAGGACCCGCCTATCGAGGCTCACAGTTTGATCTCATTCGGCGTTAGCTTCCACACGCCATTCTACTTCCACACTGGCGTCGAGGGCCTCAACAGCATCACGGATCTATTCATTATGCCGAACCTCGAGCGCATGGAGATAGTCGGCGGGTTTTTCAGTGACAAACGCGAGGCGCAGCACTTTGTCGAGCCATTTCCCCTTCTCCGAGAACTCCGGTTGGAGGATGTACGCTTCACTCACGCAAACGCTGCATTTATCCAGTCGTTCAGCCGCAGGATCACTCGCCTCGAGCTCGTCTACACGCGCGAGACCCAGCATTTAGTTCACCCCAATTTGCGGTGGCCTGCCTTGCGGGTTTTGACGGTGGAGACGCTCCCTCGGATCGTCATGCCGATGTGGCTTCCTCGGCTCGTCGAGATGCACATCGGGCTGGAACTCTGCATCCATCCTCGCCTCGCCTTTGACCTCAGCCGCGCGCCGGCCACTCGTATCCGATGGCTCTCCCCCACCCCCATACCCGCGCTCATCGACAACGTCTCACCAAACGGCTCAGGATTCTACATCGACCCTCTCGACGGGCGTGCAACTGACTTTGATCTCGCGCTGAGACATCCGGGATGGTGTGCATGCCGGCAAGTGGGATGTGCGTGTTGTGCCGAGTTGAGGGAGTTTGGGTACGATTTGTACGATGAGGAGAAATTGGATGTCGAGTTCGCGGAGGCGTTTGAGAAGATGGGGGAGCTGCTGAGGGGGAAGTGGGTGTGTTCCAGGAAGAGAGCAGAGAATTTGGGTAGGCATGGATTGGGTAGCCGGGGTAGGGTGAGGAAAGGGAGGAGGGTATCGGTCCGGGGGCATGATTTGAGGGAGGACTTCCGGGTGGCTTGATTTTAAAGTGTTTATGTACGCGCGCGGCGGAATATGAAGACTACTACTTTCAATCTTTGTTCGTGAGTGGTAAGACCGCAAGTTGGGAATCGGAAATAACAAATGTAATCGAATGGAGAATCCAATCGAGGAAAGCGACGCCCATTGTCTTGACTAGTATATCGGTTCAGTACACCCGCTTGTCATAAAGCAGTTCATTGGTCCGCGGGAGAGCAGGGTTTGACTCCCTGGTCGAGAGTTTCTTAAAGTCTTTTGGGACTTTTTGTGCCTTTTTGTGCACCTCGGAATCTGTCAATGGCCCCCGTTTAGTTCTTCAATTTTCATTCTGCCATTCCCTCTACAATTCAGCACTCAGCGTGGAGCTCAAGTGGAGCTGTGGAAAGCCAGTGGCCGGCAACACAAGTCCCCGGTGATGCGTTGATGGCAAATTTGATCTTGTCCACGACGACCATGTCCTTCTCGCCGCGAGCCAGTTACCTCCTCCTCGCTCTGGCTCTGGCACCCATCTTGACCTTCATTCGGCGACGCAGCAGTCGACGGTCCCGCAAGCTCCCTCGCAAGAATGAGCGTATCCTACTTATCGGCGCGTCATCAGGCATCGGTCGCACCCTTGCTCACCAATACGCGGCTCTGGGCATCAAGTCCCTGTGTGTCGTTGGTAGGAGGCCAGACATGATTGCTGAGGTTGCTTCCGAGGCAGATAGTGCCACCGCTGGCGAGGGCACGACGGAGGTCCTCGGTGTCGCTGCAGACTTTGCGAAAGTCGAGGATATGGTGAATCTACGGACGCAGCTGGAATCAAGGGCGTGATCCTTAGGTCTTGGATTCCTGGAAACTGACATGGGTGTAGAGTGGGGTGGCATCGACACACTCATCCCCGTGGCCGGAGTGTCTGCGCTGCGACCGTTGCTGGAGATCTCGGGCAAGGGCGACAAGGAGGGGATTCAGCACCTCGGGTAAATTTACCGGCCCACTCATCGCTGCAGCGACCTTCGTGCGTGTCCAGTCACTGTCCATCTGCCATCGTCGTCACTCACTCTGTGTTCTAGATACCGCTCCTCCAACGAACTTCCTCATCTGCGTCCATTCTACCCGTCAACTCTTTGGCCTCTGCCATTCCCGCACCCACCCGTGCTCTTTACGCCTCCCGAAGCGAGGCAGATTCTCTCCGTCGTGAACTCGCCGCCGTACACAAAAAAGCAGAGGCAGACCAACGACATCTCCAGGCCCTTCTCGCTGCAGCCTCCACCAAGTCTGCCGCCGAATCCGCCCAAATCCAACGAGCCTACAAAGACCGTCTGGTTCGTGCCGAGACTGCACTCGAGGACGCCGAGCACCGCAGTCGTGTCGTACAGAGGAATTGGCGGCTACTGGATAACTATCTCGGCAACGTGCAGCACCACGCCTCGGCTTCACGGGCGGCGTTTTCCCGCGTTATCGAGCAGAATGACTTGGCCTTTTCGCCTGGTGATCTGCCTCCACACTTACGCCATGAACGACCCGCTTCCGTCCCCCCACCCATGACTGGCTCTCGACATCGTCCTCGCGAGTCACCACCGCCCCATGAGGCCGAGGCATATTCTCGGTCTCTGCCGCCGTTACTTGCTCAACGCCGTGGTGTGCGTAGCCCTCCTCACAATGACGTGGGCGAGGATCGCTGGGGTGGAGAAGAAGCGGAGCCACCATATAAACGACATCGTGGTGCAGCATCCCAATCGCCGGAGATCGCACAGATCTCACCTCAGGTATGTCCTCTTGCATATGTGGCCTCTATTGGCACTGAAGTATTCGTAACCCGGATACGCTAGTCCTCACATATACGCTCCGAATGCACATCTCCCAAGGAGTCCATTCCCTCCACCACCGCCCCCGGCTCGTCGCTACGAGTCGTCACCGCACGAGATGCACGACACTCATCCTCAGCGTGCACCAGGACGGCATGCTCATACCCAGCCCCCCCTCCTCCCTCGTCTTCGCTCCCGTGAGATGCCTCCACCCCCATCGCACAGTGGCACACCAACCTCTTCTCCATACCCAGACGGACGGACTCCCCCTGCTCGTCCTACCTCTGCCTATTCTCATTCCTACGACGCTCGAGATGCCCCATTACAAATCATCCAACACCGACATCCCGCCGGAGTCGAGCCAGCGCCACCTCGTTCGCCGACGCCCCCGCCCGTACAGCCCCAGGCCCAGCCCTTCCAACATCAACATCGATTCCACGCAGGGCCAGGCATCGGTACCTCATCGAGACGGATTGTACGGCCAGGGGCGTACGAGACTGTCGTCTTTGTGCTGGACGAACCCGGGGGATCTGGGGGTGGTGTTGGGCCGACGGTGCCTGTCGCTGGTATGGGTATGGGTGCCGGTACTGGGGGCGCACAGGGCTTGCCCCGGATTCTTAACACTGAGCCTTCGCCGTTGACGCCGCCCATGTCGCGTGGAGGCGATGGACGTGCGAGTGCGAGCTCGAGGGACGGTGGTACCGGTGCGAGCTCGAGTGGGAGTCGTAGGCGGACGAGGGAGAGAGAGAGAGGTGGGAGTGGGAGTGGGAGTGGGAGTCCTGAACAAAGAGGATCAGAACAGGAGAGCGATCGCAGGCGGCATTGGGACGAGAGTCATCGTAAGTCGCCTGTGCGGGAGCGTTAGCGAAGAGTGGGTGATTCAACTTTGAAATGAGGGGGAGGAGAGGACTACACTACCATCCTGCACGAGCCCGAGGATTCTCGAGACTTGCTGTTGCTAAATCCTGCATTCATTATCTTTCTTGTATGCCGCAGTTGAATTCGAAGTACTTTCGTCGTTGAATAAGAAAATACAAGGAGATTCCGGTCAGCAAACCGACAAGTACTCGACTGCGACCGATTCAGAGAAGTAGAAAAGCTTAAGGTGCAACATAGATACATAAATCGTCAGCAAAGTCCCCGTCTCAACACAAGCTTCCGAACTCTGGTATCTCCCAGCTACAGAGTGCGCTGAGAAATCCTGAGGTCCTTCCCTGCTGCACAGGCACATCGGCGACCGCTGGGACACACATCATTTGGAGGTCGAGTATCAATCTGAGCGGACACGCACTCTGTGGAAGGACAGGACTGGCTGTGAGCTCTTCTCCGACTTTATCAACACCTGGGGTCTCAGGTACTTCATCGTCAACTACGTTCATCTTCAATCAGAAAGGTCGAAAGCTGGATGTGCAGAAGGCTCACCATACGCCAAAGATTCCTCCAGTTCGCAGGAAAGCTGGAATAAGGGCTGTCCAAGGTGGATGGCTAGTTCCTGGCTGTCGGGGTCGAACCCCTTGGCGGCGTGCAATTGCCGGAGTGCCTCGTAGACACTGGCATCCCAGGATTTCCCCCATACTTTTATGTGCATCTCCATAGTAGGAAATCCGTGGATCTCGGCTTCTTCTGCGGTCAAACGAGACTGCCCCTGTGGATCAAATGACCAGAACCACGGGCATTCAGGCAGTTGAAAGTAACCCGAATGTTCAGGAACTCGAAAGTAGTGGTCGAGCGGACATAAAAAGAGATATCCATCGGGCCGCGCTTTCGTCCCGGATGAAGGAATTTTCAGCTCAAGTACACAGCCGTCAATGTATACTGTAGCACTCACTGTGGTCAGCTGTTGTGTACGGAAGACAAGTCTCACCATAGTCATGGAAGTCCGAGGTTATTTGTAGCTGTTTGAATATATAGTTGGCTTGGGATATCCATGCATCGAACTCGGGGGCAACCTCAAAGTGTAACCAAACACTCTCCTCGTAGCTTTGATATGAGACCAGCCTTGAGGGTTTGATGTGGTTAGCTTATCGAAAAAGGGCATCTAGTGACTCACCGTCTCCAGCCATTTTCCATGACTGCCGCCGACATTCCATGGTAGTCCGAGCTGATTACATCAAAGGACACCCCTGGCAAATATGCAACCTCGATGGGTACACCGATGTCAGGCCCTGTACGGAATATTCCCCCAAGGCGAAGATCTAACGGCTTATCCAGGTTGATATGAGCCGTGGGAAATTCATGCCAGGCGATTCTATGGACTTGGTGTATCGACAAGGCCTCCAGAGCTCTTGCGTCCGAGGTATCGGTATACTTGTTGTCCCTGTTCGGACCGAAATCAGACAAGGCAAAGTTGCTACGGGGTTCCTGGATTCCGTGATAGTAGAGTCCAAGGTCCACGCAAATTTGACCACTTGATTGACGTATCCACCTCGTTCGGACCTGAGTGGATGAAGTGCCGCACATTGAGTTTTGATTTGGAGCTCACCATGTTGTTTCCTCTGTCATCCAAAAACTTGTGGACGTCCTGTTTTGCTAGGAGCATCAGGGACAGCATGATGGAGAGCCTTCTAGATCACTGACACTGATTTCTGATGACTTGAAATCCATTAGAAATGTAGACAGAAAGCTCGTTGACCACGTACCCACAGTGCATGCAGATAATTCGCCGAATCGTTGAGACGCGATGAAGGTCCAGGTACTCAGGATAGGGCAGAAGATCTGCATAGGGAGTGTGCCTCAGTAGTTCAACTTGTGAATCACACAAGAATACGAACCGTCCTGAGCAATAACAGAATGTTTACCGGAGAAATTAGAAACTCCAAATATCTGTAGTATGTTCGGATGCCTGCAAGGTCAACGGTTCTACTCGAGTGGCAGACGGAGGACGTGATGCTCACCAAAGTTTCGCATGCCGCGAGATATATTCGCGAGACTCCTGTATTGTATCAGGGACGGTGTGCAAAGTTCCAGCTGTACGCACCGCCTCCGCATCTGTCCCCTCAAATAAGATCACTGCCTGTGGCAGGTCCTCACTTCGAATCTTTGCAGAAAACACGCGGCGAGCAGTGGTGCGCGGAAGAATTTCCCGTCGGAGATCAATCTCCCAGCGACCAATTCGCTTGAATTCTGCAGCAACAGTGGGTAATATGGATCACGACAGAAGGGCGGTCAACCTACCTTCAGGCTGACCTTGAGCATCTCGGTGGACATGCACATGGCTTGTGAAAGTCCCGCCCGTGACACGCAGGTGCCGGGACTGGGGGAAGAAGGACCCCGCGAATCTGGGCGCAGGTGCATGAGCAATGAGGTCTGCGACTCTGAGGGGATTACGGGCACTGGCAGGACTCACCCAGCAGATCCGCTATCTGAGACTTCGGCCAGGGATTCCGCATGGTAGTCGTTTGAGCCAGCGCTTGAATCGTCGTTCATCGAAGGTTACCGGGTGGTGGTAAGACAA